AATAAAAACAGTAGGGGTAGGATCGGAATTACCAGAAGACCCAACTGTTCTGAAGGAACTTTTCAAAAAAATGGCCGGAAGTCAACTTTTTGAAATCACTATTCATGCCGGAAAAATAAAAAAGTGGTCGGAATTTGGTGTAACCTGGATGGGTAGGCTCGGAATTGCAAGGGAAACAATCTGTCCTGAAGAGTCGTCGCCAAAAAATGGCCGGAAGGTGGCCCACGCAACGTTGGAACTTCGCCGGAAAATTTTCTTTGGACAGCTACAGTACCGCCGGAGATTTTCACTGGGATTTGGTCGCCGGACAGTGACTACTCTTGTGGTAGTGTTGGATTTTATGCACAACACTGACCGAGACAAAGCAGACGCAAAACAACTTTGAAAGTCGCCGGAAAAAAAGGGTTCCGGTGACTGATTTTACTTCCCGGAATCGCTGGAATTTATGCACAGCGATAAATCTCTCACGATAGCTCTGATACCATGTGAGAAGGCACGGGAGAAAATATGATATATTGATATTGTGTGATGCAATACAAGAGGTGCTATTTATAGCTACTCTATACAAAGGGGATACTACTCCTATTCCAATGTGGGACAATTACATAGCTATCTCTAACATTTACATAACTATCTCTAACACTGACAAAGCAGATTTCCAATCTTACTAGCATCAGCAGGAATAATAAATCATAACACGCCTGTTTTCTTCCATAGGCATGCAATGACGCTAAACTTTCCATATTCCTCCAAAAGATTGAATGATATCTAATACGTCTGGAAAATAAATTTTCACCACTACATAGCATGAGCCAAAAATAGGCATCTAAAGTCTAAACTCAGCGCTTGCGAGAATTGATACCTTAATCCCTTGCCAAAAGGCAGATAAATAAGTACTTAGAATGGAACAAAATCATTGTATTTTTCCCATTTTTTTAAGGTAAATAATTTAATAAGAAGCAAACCGAAGTGGGAGTAAACCCCTAGCATCAACAACAAAATAACCACTATTTACAATAATAAGCTGCATGTCAAAGCAATCAGCGGATTGTTAGAGGACTATTGTTATCCGTCAAGTATAATTATGAGAAGGTAAGAATCCTACCACAGTATACAGATAAGAAGATATACTTTTGGGGGGTGATCTCCCACAATTATCATTATGTAGTAACTTTATTTGTCTGACAAGTGGATAAATATACATACTAGCAAAGACACGCAAGTATCTTCTATGCATAAAGGAAAAAGTTAACATGCAGATACAGAAATGAATAATGCAGCTAGTAGATGTCAGGGGCTCCTCACCGGTAATTCTTCTTCTGGGATCAAATGTCAACATTTTCTCAACAAGATCAATAGCAGCAGGGTTTACATGTGGAAATTTTTCGACAAAAGATTGTCGACGGTAAAGAGGAAGTTGTCTGATGTACCGTTTTGCATTCTCATTCAAAAACTCCATTTCAGCCTCAGATGGGGTGCCAATCAACTGCAGAGAAGACCCTCATAAGAATAAATTTTTTGAATAAGGTAACATTCCCTCATATGAATAACTTAAGTATGAACAATCACAGCTGAGCATGATCTTAAATATTAGAGAGCAAGTCTCAGTCATTGCAGTAAGCATTATAAATTTATAATACAAATAATGATGCTTAATCCAGGGGTCAGATCATCTCGTCAATAGTTGGAGAGGTCTCATTCAAATACTCAGTTTGGACCTCGGGAGGAGCTAATCAACTGCAAATAATTCCCTCATATGAAACTAATATTGCAGAGTGCTCTATGTCATTGCACTCAGGTGTAAAAATCAATAACTTAAAAGATGATTAATCCAAGAACCAAATCATCTTGGCAATAGTTGGAGAGGGGAGAAGAGGTTAGCAACTTAATTCATTGTATCTTGTCGACATTTAGAAAACACTGAACGCATCCATATCCATTCTATGAAAAAGTAACATATCATGTTGCTCCTTATCAATGCTCTAGATGAGCAGGCTGTTAAAAAAACAAATGCTCGTTCACTCCATACTTCCTTCTGGTTTCCTAGATCTACAACCTGATAGTATTCTCCATTTCTAGCTAGATTTGCACATAACTAACTAGTAGTAATCATTTTTTATGAGGACTAACTGGTAGTAATCATTTTTGATGAAGACTAACTGGCAGTAATTATGAACACTAAAAGGTGACACTGGGAAAAAAGGCAAAGGTATACAGCATAGAGAAAAGTAAATGTTTAGGGGGAAGGTTGGAGATGGTTTGGTAATAAATTCTGACAAAAAAAAATACCTCCATAAGCAGACGTAGCTGATGTACATGATCTCTACCAGGAAACAGAGGCTTTCTGTCCATTAATTCCATGAAAATGCAACCCACTGACCATACATCAATAGCTGCAGTATAGTCAGATGAATTTAACAACAGCTCAGGTGGTCGGTACCATCTTGTCACAACATATTCGGTCATAAAGTCGGTTTCAGAAGTGACACGAGCTAGCCCAAAATCACATATCTTTAAATCACAATTGGCATTCAAGAGGAGATTGCTAGGCTTCAAGTCCCTATGCAAAACATTTGCAGAATGTATGTATTTCAACCCACGGAGGATCTGATACAAGAAATACTGCACCAAAAATATTGACTAATTAATATACAGCTGAATTTTGGCAGATTAAGGCACCATAATATGTATGTATGTATGTATGTATAAAAGCAACGCTGACTGATACGGAGATAGAATAATAAGAAATATAGACAAGATAACTAACATAATACATCATTACAAAAACACAGAGTAAACTTCTGTATTGTTCAGCATAACAGCAGATATAGCAAGTGTATGTTCTTGGACAGTTTTCACCGAAAACTAAAATAACCAATATAAGATGCAACACTTAAAACAGATAAAGCAATGAAGTGTGTATTCTTGGATTACAATTTCATCAAAAACTGAACAATAACCAATATAAGATTTTAAACTTGGACCATACTTCGACAACTAATCTCCATCGAAGAATTCTCGAAGTACCAAACTTACATATATTAACTACTTAGTTCACATAGTAAACCATTTAGCAACCATATTGTACTTAGAGTCTTATTGTAATTTCTTTCATGTTCAATTATGGAAAAGAGAGCTTAGAAATGAGATGGCTTTTTATATCATTCTCTAGCCTCTCACTATTACTCTAAACTCTTATTCTCTTCTAAAGATTTACCGTTGACCTCTCTACCATGGCTACCCTCTCTTCCTCCTCCGCCTCTATTTCTATAGGTATCTAATGTTACATCTAGAAGTAAGATGATTTGTTATGTTGTTTATACACCAGCAAATTACATTTTTTATTAAGAAAGTACAATAAGTTTATTCCTAAGAGGCAAACCTATATAAAGAGTATATCATACAAGAAATATACATTTATAACACGTCCATAGCATCAAAGACTAGTTGGTTTTTTATAAGAAGCATCAAAGAGTAGTTGTTGATGTTTTCTTTAATGCAAAATGGTGTGATTAACTTACAAGAACAACTAGAAAAGTTTAAATAATTTCAAGAACACTTCTTTGTATGATTCACACTTTGTTTAAAGAAAGAAAGCCTTCTATTATAAATTTTGGGTAGATCAGCCAGGAGACCACATTAGTTTATGTTTAGGGTAGAGTGTCTACTTCACATCTCATGGGGTGCGGCCCTTTCCCCGACCTTGCGTGAATGCGGGATGCTTTGTGCACCGGGCTGCCTTTTTCTACCCTATTGGTGAATTCATAAATTGATACTTGGGCAATCAAGAGAAAAGAAAAGAAGGATAACCCAAGCACTTTCACATTTTCTTTTGTCCAGTATTACCAAATAGCTTCACCTAATGTTTTGATATATGCTTCCACAATTACGTTGGTTACACTCTAACAATCTTATTTCAGCACTTCCAAACACTTGAAGCTTTTCCTAGCTTCAAAAGGGCAGCAATTGTACAAAAACGGATGATGATGGTTATATGATCTATGTCCTAATCTGTACATGCTCCTTACTCTGGACGCTACAAGCAATTAAATTTACCTTACTTTATCCCGAGAAATAATTTAAGGAATAAAGAGATTAATGTTGATCAAAAAGAAAAATAGAAAACTATCAAGAACAACACTACTGTGTCAAATTGTCTATGATTGACCATTACTACCAATCTTCACTTGACGATTCTACGGGGATATAGTAGATTTGCACTCACTAAGATTCATCCTAAAAACGACAGCAAAGTGCCCTCCTAAACATTGAAGATTTTCCTAGCTTTAGAAGAGTACTGATTATAAGAAAATTGATACAGATGATAATATGATCTATGTACTCATTTAAATAAGGAAAAAATGAGCATACCAACCATGCAAAGAAAAGGAAGAAAGATACAAACAGCATACTGCTATCAGATGACAATTACTAACAATTTTCAGTTGATATGTCTAAGCGGAAATCATAAATTTGCAGTCAATTAATGCTCACCGCCTCACCCTAACATGACAATGAAAAGCACTCCTAAACATTTCATGTTTTTCCTAGCTTTAGAAGGGTACTGATCCTCTGAAACTAAAGATGATAATGTGATCCACGTCCTAATCTAAATAAGAGGAAAAGAGCAAACTACCAATCAAAAGAAAAAGAAAAAAAGATTGAGAACAGCATACTGATGAAGCTAAATTGTCTACTATTGAATGTCACTACCACTTTCCATTTGATATAAGTGAATACGATAGAATTGCATACCCACTGAAGTTCAACATAGAAATGACACCAACGAAATATAAAAGTGAAAAGGGCATGGATTTTTATTCATACATTTCAGCACTCAAAGAAGAGGATATATGAACATCATTTCCATCGAATGAGAAAATGCTAATGTTTCTTGTTAAAATGTTGTAATCATGCACAACGAAAATGAATCATTACAATTCTGGAAAACAATACTACAACTAAAAGCTTCAAAAATGATCACATAAGAAAAAAGGAAGTAAGAACAATGCTTACTCCCATCAACACAAGGATTGATACATGTATTATCCAACTCCACCATGCAAAAGGAAAATAGAGAAAAGAGCAAAGAACCACCAAATATTTGAAAAGCTTGTTACATCAACCAATTAAATTTAATTCAAGAATAATAAGCAAATCTTATAAGCTTTTAAATAATTGGATACTCCCATTTCAGTAATGTTCTAAATGGCACCTGGAGAGAATAAAATAATCCTAATTCTAACCTGACAATGTTCTTCTGATAATCCCTGATTAGAGCGAATAATTTGATGGAGATCAGTGTCCATGAGCTCATATGCAATGTAAACATCATTGAATGCTTCTCTTTGAGGCGGTGGAATTATATCTCTGATCGCAACAATCTGCAAGGCAAGATGCTGAATTAGCCTTAAAATACTCCTTTATACACACACTATGTGATCTAATGTTTCTTTTTTCTTATGAAGCATCTAACTCCCAATTGTAAATAAAGTAGCTCCATCTATTACTTGAAAATATTTATAATTCTATATGCATTCCTTATTGGTCGACAGTTTTTTTTTTAAAATGATTGTTTTTTACAGTATTATTCAGTTGAAAAAGGAGGAAAAGAGAACCAAGACTTCGTGTCATAAGCGATACTAGCTACAAAAATTATTTTATCTTTATGTCATTATAAATAGAAAAAAAATATTACTCCTCCATTCTCACCATAGTAGGTCAACGTAGCATTATTTCCTTATTAATTAAGTAGATCATTAAGCTGATAACAGTGAATCAAGTGAATACGTTCACCATCTATATCGTTCCAATTTTATCAAATGTCCCTAAAAGGAAAAGTGAATACTTTCAAAATCACTCTTTATTCCATCTGATATAGAAATACAATACTCCCTTTATCCTATTTTATCTGACATTCTTTCCTTTTTTGTCTATCCTAAAAAGAAATATTTCTACCCTTAGAAACAATTTAACTTTAAGTTTCTCATTTTAACCTTAATAAAATGATGTATAGCCACACAAATATCTATGGCTTGTATTAGACCACAAGTTTCAAAAGTATCTTTTTCTTTTTTAAACTTCGGGTCCAGTCAAACACCATCACATAAACAGAGACGGAGGGAGTATAACACAAGCAAATGTTTCCTAACCTTTTTCTGCAGATGGTAACATTAAATGTTTCCTAACCTATTCCACAATTTAATTTTGTTCCAATAAGTAAATTAATACTAAGAAAAAAAAGGGATCACTCACTGACATTTTCATGATCCATATGTCGAAGAAGCTTAATCTCACGCAAAGTTCTCTTGGCATCAATTTTGTTATCAAAAGCATTCGCGATTTTCTTTATCGCAACATGCTCATTCGTCTCCGAATTCAAAGCAGAACTATCACAAATACAATACAAAAAAAATTATTTTCATCAATCAAAAATCAACATAATTTTTTTACAAAGGCAAGTCAACGGTTTAGAAAAAAGGAAAAAATTTACCAAACAATGCCATAAGCTCCTTTACCGATGGGCATAATAGGTGGCTTATACTTTGCAGTAACTTCAAATATATTACCAAAAATATTGTATTGAATAAACCGGCCGCCGTGGCTTAACGTCGCCGGAATGTTATCGATTCCAGCAACCGGCTGTGGCGGAGGAGCTGGTTGCTGCGCCGCGTCCGACATCACGGTGTCCGCTTGATGAGCTGGACCATCCATTTTAAAGAACAGTAAACCCTAGAATCAAATTTGCACTTTTTGATTTCAGTTGTTTTGCTGTGTGTGCTTATATATGTGTGAGGAAAAAGTGTAAATGTGTGAGGAAAATGTGCGTGTTGTTGGGGGAAGTGAAGTTTGGGGTCAAACAGATCTGAATCGTGAAAGGTGATGAAGAGAAACACGAAGGCCGTTTGTTGTTTTGCTTTTGCCTTTTCTCATTAACAATTACTAGTATTCCTACGCGCGCGTTGCGTAGAGATTTATGAAAATAAAAATAGTAACAAAATTTACTTGAACAAAAAAGCATGATAAAAATCTAATTTTATAATATTTATTGGCTTGTTATATATTGTGAAGTTTTTTGTCTTTATAATATTTAAGTACATAATCCAAACATATTATATGTTTCAAACAAAGAGAATATCAAGATTTAGCCTAAATAATATTTACTTAAAGCTTCATGCTAACGCTGTAAAGCAAATTTTGGGGCTTTACCGTTCTTAGATAAGTCTTTGTCTACTTGCACGAAGAAATAAAAATGTTAGTGGCACATAGACTATTGAAAATTTTAAGAATAACTTATAGACTTGATGTCAACCAAATTTATCTTGGCATCTCTATTTTTTGCTCTTGACCAACGCGGTATTCTGTTTGTGCTTGTCAAGATGAAAAAATAAGTAAAATAGAAATGTGTTGAGTTATGCAAATGTAATAGTTTTCACTTGTAAAAAAATTAAAAAGGTATAAAAAAAATTGAAATCAATATAATTTTAATTTTACAGAAAGTAAATCAAAATACACACCAACTTTGCTCAAAGTGCACTGCCTAATTTGCTAATTTTTGTCTTGCCCCAAAGTTCTTGCATACTTTTTGGAACTTTACACCTACCTTATGTTTTGGGTTGCTACTATATACCAATAGCTGTAACAATTGGCATGTTTTTCCTTTAAAGATCAGGATTTGTCAAATTCATCATTTTTGGAATGTCAACCAAATGATTCTAATGGACCGTATAAGCTTGTGAGAGTGAATTTGATGCACGAAAATAAACTTGCATTTTGAATAAGCATTTTATGAGCCTTAAAAGCACAAGTTTCAAAAGAAATGCCAATGGCACATACCTAAAGCACATGTTGAACCGCAAATAACTGATTTGAGCTGTCACACCTCCTTTTTGCGCGCCCGGCCCCGAAGGGGTTAAATGCGCGGGTGAAGTTTTTTCCAATTTAAGTGACAATATTCGAAATGGGATTATTTATTTAATTTAGAGTCGCCA